AATTAATTTAATTAATTTAATTAATTTAATGGATTAAATTCCTTCTAATTTGCGCCGGTGGAGAGAAAGCAGAAAGAACGACGCACAGATCAACGAAGCCGGGGCTCCGCACATGAGGCGACAGCAGAGGCAGCGGAACGGCGCTTGCGGAAACTGGGATTAAATTAAATGAATTGAAAGCTGCTGAAATGATTTAATTCAAATTAATTTCTTTATTCCCTTTTTCCCGGTGTATTTACACCCCGACAAACCCAAAAGCTCGCGGACCACTCCGCCGCGGCGGTCGCCGCTGCGGTGTACAGACACCTGAGCAACCCGCGAAACTCGAAACCCCGAACCAACTATTCTCCAGTTTATTTCAAACAAATTACTCCTAAATTATTCTTCATTTTATTCTTTTCTTCTTTTTTGCGAAACAACTCCGAAAAAACCCTCCAAATAGACCCCCGCTGCTCCCAGATACTTCACCCCAAGCCCTAAACCCTAAACCCTAAACCCTAGCATGTGCCGCTCCTCGAAACCCTCGCAGTTACTCCCGAAACCCTAAACCCTACCTCATCACCACTCACCCCGCCCCATGCTCCAACCCAGACCCGCCTTCTAGCGCCCCAAACCCTAAACCCTAAACCCTAAACCCTATTCTGTAAACCCTGTCTACGCACACACAGGGCTTTCGCCTTGTCTGCCTCTACAGCTAAGCCCTAAACCCTAAACCCTAATTTCATTTCTAACCTGTTCTTGCTGACGCCAGTCTAGTGGACTATAATTAAAGAATAGCGAGCAGCGACAAGAGAGAGAGCTGCTGCTGCTGGTGCTGCTGCGAAGTGCAGCAGCAGCAGCAGCAGCAGCAGCAGAAGTTGCAGCAGCAGCAGCAGCAGAAGTTGCAGCAGCTGCAGCTGCAGCAGCAGCAGCAGCTACTTTGCTGCTGTTGGTGCCGCCTCACAGGGGCGCTAACGACAGAGGCCCATGAGCGCCTCAGGGGCTCTCGCTGCCGCTGCCGCTGCTGCTGCTGCTGCAGCAGCCACTGCTGCTGCTGCTGCTGCTGCTGCTGCTGCTGTCCTCAAGGGCCCCTCCACCCCCATCACTCTCTGTCTCCTCGTCTGGGTCGCAGCCGGGGGCCCCACAGCCGCAGTTACACCCCACGAAATTTGACAGGTAGTCTTGAAGAGACACGCGAGTGCTGCTGCTGCTGCTGCTGCTGCTGCTGCTGCTGCTGGCGCTGCTGCTGCTGTTGCTGTCGCCGAGGGCCTCGGACACGCACACCGCTATGCCCTTCATTAGACCGCCCTCGTCCGCACCCTCACCGCTGCTGCTGCTGCGGCTGCTGCTGCGGCTGCTGCTGCTGCTGCTGCTGCTGCGGCTGCTGCTGCGGCTGCCGCAGGGAGGCGGCTGCCAGGCCTCATCGCTGCTGCTGCTGCAGGTGCTGCTGTTGCTCCTGCTGCTGTTGTACCGGGAGGGCATTTGCTGGGTCTGCCTGCGGCGCCGGTGCTGCAGCAGCAGCAGGGCCCTGCTGCTGCTGCTGCTGTCGGCGCCCCCCAGAGCAGCAGCAGCAGCAGCTATGTCTCTGCAGCGGATTATGCAGCAGCGCCGGTGCTCCATGTGGCAGCAGCTGAGGTGCAGCAGCACGCAAAGGAAGTCGAGGCAGCAAAGCCGCAGCTGGTCATAAATCCCAACTCCTACGCTTCTGCTGCTGCTGCTGCTGCTGTTGCTGCTGCTGCTGCTGCTAGGCGCCGGCGCGTCGAAGGCGGGTGGCGAGCCCTGCTGCTGCTGCTTCTGCTGCTGCTGCTGCTGACGCGTCAGACCCTCCGACGTTAGGCCACAGCTTGGCTGCTGCTGCTGCTGCAGCGCTTGGTGCTGTTGCTGCTGCTGCTGTTGCTGCTGCTGCTGCTGGGGGCGCAACGGGAGCGCTACGAAAACAGCAGCAAGGTCTGCTGCTAGCCTCCGCTTAGTGGCTTTAACTTCTTCAGGCCCAGCAGCGGCAGCAGCAGCAGCAGCAGCAGCAACTACCAGCTGCGCGAGCCGCAGCAGCAGCACGTCAGGCAGCAGCACCCGCAGCCGCTGCAGCAGCAGCAGCACAGCAGGGTTTCCTTCTTTGTCCCTTAGCCAGCAGCGGTAGAGTCGCCTTGCTGCAGCAACAGCAGAAGTCCCCCCAGGCCCAGCAGCAGCAGCAGCAGCAGCAGCAGCAAGCGCCCGCTGGACAGCCTGCACACCCCACACCTCACTCGGGGAGCAGCAAAGGCATTGGCAGCTGCCGCTGCTGCAGCAGCAGCCGTTGCAGCAAGCCGTG